CCCCGGCGCCGCCCCCGGGCCGCTCCTGCCTCCGGTGCGGCGGGCGCAGCGCATCCCGCGGGCCGGGGCGGGGGGTGCGGGCAGCGGCGGGACGCCGCTCCGCCACCGAGCTCCGCGAGACACCGAGCGGAGGGAGGGACGAGAGACGGCGGCGGCGGCGGGGGAAGCTCTTTAATGGGGGGGCGGCGGGCGGCGCTCAGGGCTGCGCCTTGCCGTCCTTGCTGCGCCAGATGACGAGGGTGACGAGGAAGGGGATGAGGCAGATGGGCGCGATGATCATGGCCAGCAGCACGTCCTCGGGCGGGTCGAGCACCTGGTGCGGCGGCGTGCAGTTGTGGAAGTAGTGGTGGTGGCTCTGGAAGATGTAGCTCTCGGCCAGCGTGTTGGGGTAGCCGTAGCTCAGCCGGTCGGCCCAGTCCTCCAGGCAGGACTGCAGGAGGCTGTAGGGCCTGCGGGCAGCGCGGCGGTGGGCGCGGGGCCGCCCGGCCCCCCTGCTCGCCCCTGCCCGCAGCACGAGGCTCCGGGAAGGGGCTGTTCATCGGGAGCGGCTCCCGGTGCCGGGGCCCGGGCCGGTACCTGCTGATGACGCTCCACTCGCAGAGCTGCGGAGCGCTCACGTTGCCCATGAGCTCCACGAAGAGCTTCCAGCAGCGCTGCGAGATGTTGGCGTACATCTCCTCTGCGGGGAGAGCTGCTGAGCCCGCGCCCACCCGCCCGGCCCCTGCCCTCCCTGCCCATTGTGTGTCTTCCCTTCCTGTCCCATGCCATCCATCCCATCCCGTGCCCCCCCATCTCATCCCATCCCTTCCCGTCCCATCCCATCCTGTCTCATCACATCCCTTCCCATTCACCCTGTCCCATCCCATCCTTTCCCATCCACCCCGTCCTGTCCCATCCCATCCTTTCCCGTCCCATCCATCCCATCCCGACGCTCACCCACAAGCTGCGCAGTCCAGTTGATGGCAGCGGCAGGCGGGCTGGTGTGGGCATCCTGGGCGAGGGTCTGGGCCTGGGCTCCAGGGGGGCTCAGTGCCCGCCCCAGCAGGGCTGCGCGGGGCAGCACGGTCAGAGGGGCCGGACACCGCGAGGCCGCCAGAGCCGCGGCAGGAAAGGGAAGCGCGAGGGGAAGCGGAGCCGCTGAGCCCGTCCGCTCTCGGCCAGCACCGAGCCCGGGGGCAGGGGGGATCCCTGTGGCGGCCCCCAGGGCAGCGTGAGGACCCCAGACTCCTTGTGCCACAGGTCCTGCTCCAGCACCCCGCAGTGCACCAGGAGCCGGGCGCTCCCGGCCGCCTGCTGCATGCGGGGCGACCCCGACCCCGTCCCCCCGCCGCGATCCCGGCGCGGCCCCACGTGCCCTCGGCGGCGCGAGGCCCCGGGGCGCCCGCCCGCCCTCCCGCACTCACCGC